TCCTACCTGGGAGATGTACCCAGAAACAGCCCATCCCCATACCCTACCCTCTGGGGTCCTGCCACCACTCCCCTCTGGGCCACCTCAGCAGTCTCCTTTTCCTGCCCATGTTCCTCCCCCACACCCACCCCATGAAGCCAGAGGGGACATTTTGTGGAGTTGTGTGCGTGTGTATGTGTGCATGTGCTGCTTAGAACCCAGGGTCTGATGTGTGCTGGGCGAGGACTCTACCACTGAACTCTACCCCCAGCCCTTTTTATTTTTTATCAAGTCAGATCTTGCTAAGTTGTCCAGGCTGGTCTTGAACTTGTGATCTTCCTGCCTCAGGGTCTGAGTCACAAGGATTACAGGAATGTATCATGGTGCCTATCTGTCAGGGTTTAATCATTGTCATCTTTGCCAGAGAGATCTGGTCTGGACTCCATGCCAGTCAACTCTGTTTGGTCCTTTCAGGAGCCATGTTGCTCTCTGTGCCTTGGTTTCACATCTGTCAAATGGGGGTGGCCATTTATTCACACTGAGCATCTGCTTTAGCTCTGAGGTTCAGCTGTGAACATGGTGAAGGTCCCTACCCCAGGGTCTCGCAGTCCAGTGGGGAGACAGTGAGTAAAATAAAGAAAACAGCTGATCGGTCAGCTGGTGCCGAATTCCGTGGTCAAAATGAAGTAGGGAAGGTGGGTCAGGTACCACCCCAAAGGGAGGTACAGCTGTGGGTGGGGTGATCAGGGAAGGCCCCATCCGCAGGCAGAGAAGGGGAACTGTGTGCGCATGGTGGGGAGAGCATTCCAGGCAGAGGCACAGCTAGTGCAGTGGCCTGAGGTAGGTGTGTGCCAGGTAGGTGGCAGGTATGTCTGGTGAGCATTGAAAGGCCAAGGTGGCTGGACCTGAACCACTCTCCCTGAGTGACTGAGAGCGTGGGAGACAGGGACAGAGCCCTAGTTTATAAAAGGCTTGGTGCGTATTAGACCCCAGAGTAGCTGTCCATGTCACTGTCATTAATTATTATTTTGTAGATGAGTGGATGGGTGGCAAAGATGGATGGACGGATGATGGGTGGGTGATAGGTAGGTGATAATGGACGGGTAGATAGGTGACGGATGGGTGGGTAATGACAGATGGATGATGGAGGGATGGATGGATGTGGAGGGGTAGATTGGTGGATGGTAGACGGATAGGCAGAGCCTGCGCCTGAGAGCCCATGTGACGTCAGCACTCTGCTGGTGACCCCAGCCCCTGATTTGGCAGGAGCAAGAAGGAGAGCTGCAGAATGAGTGAGCGTCCACTCTCTTCCTCTGCAGCCTCGAAGCGGAGGACTCCGGCCTCCCCGCCGGGCATGGCCGACCCCCACCAACTTTTTGATGACACGAGTTCAGCCCAGAACCGGGGCTATGGAGCCCAGCGGGCACCTGGTGGTCTGGGCTACCCCAACACCTCTGCCTCCGCACAGGCGGCCTTCCTGGCAGATCCTGTGTCCAACATGGCCATGGCCTACGGGAGCAGCCTGGCCGCGCAGGGCAAGGAGCTGGTGGACAAGAACGTGAGTGGACCGGGGCTGGGGTGGGGGGACGGCAGGGGCTGCAGGGTCTCAGGCTTGAGCTCTGCCTCCACAGATTGACCGCTTCATCCCTGTCACCAAGCTCAAGTACTATTTTGCCGTGGACACYGTGTATGTGGGCAAAAAGCTGGGCCTGCTCGTCTTCCCCTATCTGCACCAGGTTGGCACTGCGCTGCCCGGCGGTCGGGGTCGGGGTCCCGGGGTCAGCGCTGTAAGCAAGGCGGGAGGAGCCCTGCTCTGGGGATCCTGCCCGCTCCCCCTTTCTCCCCACAGGACTGGGAGGTGCAGTATCAGCAGGACACCCCAGTGGCCCCCCGCTTTGACGTCAACGCGCCTGACCTCTATATTCCAGGTTTCACCCTGCCCAGCCCTGCCCACACCCCCCTCCCTCTGGCTGGGCACGTCTCGGGCAGAAGTTTGGGTGCCAAGACCCAAAATGGCCCTTCCTCTGACCACTGTCTTGTGTCTTCTCCTACAGCGATGGCTTTCATCACCTACATCTTGGTGGCTGGCCTTGCACTGGGGACACAGGATAGGTAAGGGAGTGGGGTGGTCTTGGGGACCAAGGCACATCAGGGAGGTCTCAGTCCATCACCCTCACTGTCCCCTTGCCTCCCCTCTTGCCACATGCAGCCCGTCACACCCTCTAAATCCATCCTTCCTCTTAGCCTCCACCCGAGATCTGTCCTCTTCCTCACTCTCCTGAGCACGCTGCCCCCGCTGCCCTCACTCCAGGGGCATCTGGGAAGGTTTTATGTGAGCTGTGGGCTGGGCCGCACCCCACACTGACCCATACAGCTGCCAGCAGCCCCCGAATTGAGCCCCAGCTCCTCAGCCTGGCATCTCCATCCCCTTTGCTCCCTCTGCCATGCCACTCTGTCCCTTTCCACTCCAGAGGGCCTGGTGCTGCCCCAGGGCCTGGGCACTTCTGTTACTTTGGCTCAGGAGGCTCCTTCCCTATGTCACCTGCTCATGCCTCACCCAGCATTGACACCTCTCCTCCAGAGCGAGCCCCTGTCTTTCCCTCATAGTCCCTTGTCCTTTCCTTTGTGGCACTGAAAACAACTGTCATTAGAAGCAGTTGATTAATTGTTGAGCCCTTCTCTGACCACTGCTTACTCCTTCAGACCTCAGCTTAGCTGTCCTCTGTTCTGGGAAGYCCCTTCTGCCACCCCTTCCGGCCTGTGTGCCACAGCCCCCTGTGAGTCACACCTGTGATTGACCCTTGTGGGTGTCACTGCCTGGGAACAAACTGGAATCCTGGAATGGGATGTCTAGGAGGGCAGGCCCAGGTCCCTCTTGGTCACTGCTGGGCTGTCTCTAGGCCAGTGCTCAGGGGGGGTTTGAGCCAGCAGCTGAATGACAGAGCTCGGTCCCACAGGTTCTCCCCAGACCTCCTGGGCTTGCAGGCAAGCTCAGCACTGGCCTGGCTGGCCCTGGAGGTGCTGGCCATCCTGCTCAGCCTCTACCTGGTCACTGTCAATACCGACCTCACCACCATTGACCTGGTGGCCTTCCTGGGCTACAAATATGTCGGGTGAGTACCCCCCAAACCTGCCTGCCAGCCCCGCCCTTGGGCCCTGTCCTCAAACCAGCCTCCATTCTCCCTCTCTCCAGAATGATCGGCGGGGTTCTCATGGGCCTGCTCTTTGGGAAAACTGGCTACTACTTGGTGCTGGGCTGGTGCTGCGTGTCCATCTTCGTGTTCATGGTGAGCTGGGGCTCAGGGTGGGTAAGGCTGAGGACACAGGCCTCCTGGACATAGTTGGACCCTGGGGCATCCAAGTAAAGGATGTCAGAGAAGGAATTTAGACGAGAGCTGTTGCCAAACTGAGGGCCATGGAGTGGCTCCCCCAACCTGGGTCAGGAGGGCTTCTTAGAAGAGGAGGTATCCAAGCTGGGTCAGGCAGAGCCGGCTCGGTGAGGATTCCCACCCAGGCTGGGGGCTGGGTCCCCACCCTTCCCCTTATGTGGGGAACTTTCCCACCAAAATGTCCCTGGAAGGAGATTCTCTAAGAGCCCTTCCATCCGGAGTGGGGGTGCTGGCAAAGGGCCCTGGCTTGGGTTGACCCGAAATTCATGCCTCAGATCAGTTCTGGGGTTAAACCTCAGTTTCCCCTTTTATAAAATGGGATGGTGATGTCTGCATGTCAGGGTGCTGGGAGAGGTCAGAGCCCAGGGTGCACATGGGGCGCAGGGCTACTGGACTGTAAATGACCCATGAGCAGATATGCTGATGTCATCATTTCAAAGTTAAAAAAATGCATTTCAAATATTTTAGAAAATAGCATTTCTAGCTGGGCACATTTCTAGCTGTAATTCCAGCTACTTAGGAGGCTTAGGTGGGGAGATCTCAAGTTGGAGGCCAGCCTCAGCAACATAGGGAGACCCCATTTAAAAAAAACTGAGGTGGGGTGGGGGCAGCCTTAGGCAGTATGGGTCCCACCTATAATCTCAGTTACCGGAGGCTGAGGCAGGAGAATGAAGGCCACCCCGGGCAATAGTGAGACCTTGTCTCAGAAAGGATTCGAGTATAGCTCGATGGTAGACTGGGTCTGGGTTCAGTCTGGGATTGSGGAGGCAGGGTTGGGGATCTAGTTTGTCTTTTAAAATGGTCATCCCGGAGGGTGCCAGGTGTAGCACGGAGGGTGCCTTGTCTAGCACGTGAGAGGCACTGCATTTGATTTCAGCACCAAGAGGGGAAAAAACCGTGGCTGGTAAAGCTGTCTTACTGGCATTTGAGTCTAGAACCCTCATTTTTGCTCACGGGCCCTGCTGGAGTTGCAGAGGGGCAGGATCTTGGCCCAGGCTGCGGGTTCTTGTGGGCAGAGGCCAGAAGTCCGCCCAGTCCTCCCGCCGCCGCCGCCCAGTCCTCCCGCCGCCCAGTCCTCCTGCCGCTCAGTCCTCCCACCGCCCAGTCCTCCCACCGCCCAGTCCTCCGGCCGGGCCGGTTGGTGGCGAGGGTAAACCCAGCGCCTGTCTCCCCTCCCCTCCCAGATCCGGACGCTGCGGCTGAAGATCCTGGCCGAGGCTGCGGCTGAAGGGGTACCGGTGCGCGGGGCGCGGAACCAGCTGCGCATGTACCTGACCATGGCCGTGGCGGCGGCGCAGCCCCTGCTCATGTACTGGCTCACCTTCCACCTGGTGCGGTGAGGGCGCCCGCGCAGCCGCCAGCCGCCCGCCMGCTGCCGCCGCTCATCTCCGCCCGCCTCGGGCCGCCTTTCCGGGCAGGGCCGCCGCCCGCGCCCGCCCGCGCCCCTCTCCCCGCCAAGGTGCTGAGATCTCCAGCTGCACAGCGAGAAACAATAAAGCCTGACGGACTGGGTCCGCCTCCGTCCTTGGGACGCCGGGCAGGGGCCTGGCCGCCCAGCAGGGGGCAGCGCCGGGCCGGGGAGCGGAGCGACGGGCGGGAGCCAGACACAGCGCCACCATCGGGAGGGTTTAATCAGTGAGGGGACTTCTTGCCCTTCTCCTTCTTGTCCTTCTTCTCCTTCTTGTCCTTCTTCTCCTTCTTGTCCTTCTTCTCCTCCTTTTTCTTCTTCACCTTGAGCTTCTTGGCCTGGCCCGGGGTGGCTTCGTGCTGCTTGGCGCCCGCAGCGTGGCACTGTGGGCAGCGGGTGGGAGGGGAGATGTCCAGGCTGTCCTGGGAACGGCCCCGCCCAGCGCTGACCCCCACTCTGGCCTGCCTGGGCCCGGGCAGCCCTTTACCTTCCCCTCGGCATCCGAGTCGCTGGAGGAGCTGCTGCTGCTGCTGGAGTCTGAGGAGCTGCCATTGCCATGCTGGGGGACAGGGATGACAGTGAGGGCGGGGAACCCCTTCCTAGACCCCCACCCCAAGTCGGAAAGCCGASGTGCCACAAGGTCTAAGGACCAAAGTCGAAGCCAGGTCGCCCCATCCCCCTGCATGCCTGGTGGCGAGGTGACTTACCCTTGGTTTCCGAGGTGCCCCCGCCTCTGGCGGGCACTGAGCCTTGGAGGGACCGTGCCTGGGGTCTCTCACCTGGCCTGTCCCCGCTGGCTTCTTGGAATTAGAGTCCAGGGCTGCGACACAAATAAAGTTGGGTGGGTTGGTGGGAATCGGAACCCCGGCCCGCTGAGCCTGCCCCCACCCACGGGGACCCCCGCCCGGAGCGCACCTGTTGCCAGGTTGAACTCCATGGTGGCGAGTGAAGGTGGATMGGAGGAGCAGGCAGTGCCTGCAGGGAGGAGGAGGAGCGCCCAACCTGTAGCCCCAGGAATTCGGAGGAGTCCCACCCTCCCAACCTTTGTCCCTGCAGCAACTAGGTCCTGACTCACCGCCCCTCCCTGGCCCCACCCACACTTTCCTCGGTAGGAAGGGGGGAGGCGGACAGTTGATTGCCTGTTCCSGATCCAGGCCACCGGTGGACGGGCTGGGGTCGGGGCGTGTCGGGAGCTGCAGGTTTCTGGGGAGAAGATGGAGGGCTGTTGTGAGCTTCCCCTCAAAAGGTTGGAGGGATGCCCATGCAGGCCGTCGGGGTCTTCACTGTTTAACTGAGGCTCACAGCCCCTCTCCCGCCTGGAGAGAAGCTGGCTGGGGTGAGGCGCCCAGGCCGGACGGGGCCTGTCCATTCCAGGCCCAGCTGTGTCAGCAGCAGAGAGACTTCCAGAAGGTTGTTTCACTCCCGGCCTGTGAGTGACAGCTGCTGCTGGGGCTGTGCGATCTGGGTGGGTTGGTTTCCTAGACTGGAGCCTGGCACAGATGGAATAATGCACGTGGAGGACATGATGTGGTGCCTTTAGTTTTGTTTTGAATAAAGGCAGGTGTCTTAGCTTGGGCTGCTATAACAAATACACCACAGATCCAGGCTGGGAGTTAAAGACCAAGGTACAGAGGAGCTGGTGTCTAAGGGCCACTTCCTGGCTTGTGAACAGCTGCCTTCTTTCTGCCTCCTCAGTGCCCCAGAGCAAGATCTAAGGACACTAACCCCATTCCTGTGAGCTCCACCCTTCTGATCTCACAACCTCCCTAGAGTCCCACTTCCAAATACCATCASGCTGGAGACTGAGCTTGAGCAGCATCGCAGCATCCAGCCCAGACAGCAGGCCCTGTTACTGCTTATTTTCAGATAGGAAGGCCGAGGGAGTCACAGTRAGATGCAGGGCGAACAGGGGTTCAGGCTCTGGCAGAGTGGCTGAAGTCAAAGCTCAGCTTGGCTTTCTGACTCACCCTGGGGACTCTAAACTGAAGGGGTGTCCAGCTGAGCCCAGCCTTTTTACCCCTGAACCAGGCTTGGTCAGACTGGGAGAGGAATGGGGGCCTAGCCTCTGTGACAGTGGGTGTCCTGACTGCACAAAGGGAGATTCTAGGCAGGAAAAGTGGCTGTACCCTCAGATATCTGCTCTAAATGTCCTCAGAGGTGCCTGCCCTGTCTCTGTCATTCCATCCCTTTCTCCTGCCCGGCATAGCCCCTGCTCACCACCATCTGAGGTTATCTTCATTCTTTATTCCTTTGGCATATATTTAATTGAGCACCTTAGATATCCAGTACAGTTCAAGGGCTAGGGGTACAGAGGTGAACAAAATCAGCCTCATGGAATTGACAATTCTACTGAGGAAAGCAGAGTAAAATGTACATAGTATGTTAAGGAAAAACTGGAAAAAAAAGTTTGTCATTTGGTGAATGGATGGACAAAATGCGGCATGCCTATCAGTGGAATAATATGCAGCAATGATAAGGAACAAGCCCCTGACACCCTGCATCACGGATGAACCTCAAGCACACAATGCTATGGAAAAGCGGCCAGATGCAAGACTCTATAATGCCTGAAGTCATTTATGTGACATGTTCAAGGAAGGCAGTTACAGAGACAGTAGTTAGTGGTTGCTAGAGGGCTGATGAGGGGGGACTGGGGATTAACTGTAAATGCACAAGAGGTAATTAAAATGTTCTAAACAGCATATGGTAATGGCACCCACAGTTCCAGCCACTTGGGAGACTGAGGTAGAAGGATCCTTTGAGTTCAGAAATTTGAGTCCAGCCTAGGCAATATAGTGAGACCATATAGGAAAGTGAAAATGTTCTTTTTTTGGCGGGGGGGGGGGGGGTACTGGGAATTGAATCCTAGGAGTGCTTTACCTCCCAGCCCAATCCCCAGTCCTTTATTTAATATCATGCTATTTTGAGACAGGGTCTTGTTAAGTTGTTGAAAGTCTCACTAAGTTGCCAGGGCTGGCCTCAAACTTGCCATCCTCCTGCCTAAGCCTCCAGAGTGGCTGGGATTGCGGGTGTGCACCACCAAATCCAGCCATATTGTGGAAATATTCTAAAAACTGATACATAGGGACAGTTGCACCACTTGGTAATTATTAAAAATCACTGAATTGAACCAGGCATGGTAGTGCACACCTGTAATCCCAGTGACTCTGGAGGCTGAGATAGRGGGATTGCAAGTTTGAGGTCAGCCTCAGTAACTAAGTGAGTCCCTAAGCAACTTAGTGAGACCCTGTCTCAAAAAAGGCTGGGGATATGACTCAATGGTTAAGCACCCCTGGTTTCAATCCCTGGTACCAAA